GGGGCTGTCCCACCTCCACCCTCTCTATACCTTAGCATCCTTGCTGCCACAGCAAAGGTGAGGGTGGGTCCTGTGTACCCCTGACCCAAAACTCCATGGGGTAGCACCCCTGAATAATGAATGGAGCACAGCTGCCCACCCGTGGTCTCCTGAGGTCCTCAGCAGCCACAGGATGTAGCCCTGCAACATCATGTTCACTCTGACAAATAGTACCAAAGGTTACTTTCAGCATCACAGTTTATCTTGATTTTACCACATTAAGGATTTTCAAAGGCTGTTTGCTTTCATGTCCTTATGAAATAGCCCAAACACATTTTAATTATTTACTACTAGTAGAAAATAGGATTGAGGGAATAGTGTCACAAGAAACTCAAACACCTAAGATTGCCTGCAGTCATGGAACCAAAAAGCCATTTGCAGAAAAAGTTTATTCATGGGATTCCCAGGTACTCTCTCCCTCAGTTTCAAATCTCAGTCTAAATACAATCTGATGTATAATTTATATTTTTCTTTCTCATTATTTCTGTTTGTTTGTTTGTTTGATTTTTGAGACAGGGTTTCTCTGTGGCATTGGAGGCTGTCCTGGAACTAGCTCTTGTAGGCCAGGCTGGACTCGAACTCACAGAGATCCGCCTGCCTCTGCCTCCCGAGTGATAGGATTTTAAAGGTGTGCACCACCACTGCCTGGCTTCTGATTATTTCTTTGTTACAGCAAGTTTGCTTGTTCCATGCATGTGATATTTTCTCTGATCTCCGAAGCATTCATTGTAAATCCTCTTTTATTTTGTGCCGTACCATTTCCTCTTCTAGTGGTTATCAACCTTCCTAATGCTTTGACACTAATACAGTTCCTCATATTGTCCCAACCATAAAATTATTTCATTGCCACTTCATAACTGTAATTTTCCTACTGTTATGAATAGTAATGTAAATATCTGATATGCAGGATATCTGATATGCAACCTCAAAGGGTGGCAGCCCACAGGCTGAGAACTGCTGTTTAGTCCCTTTTTTTCTGTTTTGTTCTATCCGGCATTGGCTTCCATCCAATGTCTGGTGAGCTTTGGTTGACTGTAAGCAATATTAAGCTTCAAGGAGCTGAATGGACAGTCTGTAACCAGGGTGTGCCCACCAGAGGGATAGAGCAGAACCTGCTGTTTTATTTTGGGCCTGGATGTTAGCAACAGCAGGTCTTTTCATGCTTCAGAACCTATGGGCTCCTGCCCGGGAAATAATTGTGTCAGACAGAAATCAAGGGAGGGCTGATCAAAGTGAGGAGCTTTGTGGCTCACATGGAATTCCAGGACATGTCACATGTAATACCAGGACATGTCATATGTATTCCCAGGACATATCACATGAATTCGCAGGACATGTCACATGTAATCCTAGGACATGTGGGTCTGAGGCAGAGACATTGCTGTGTACCCAAGGTGAACTACTGCATAGTGAATTCCAGGATAGCTCGTGATGGAGTGAGGACTTGTCTCAATAACATCAAAGAAAGTGGATGGGGGAATGGCTTGCAGCCTAGACTATAGACTTTAATTTCCCCATCTAACATCTGCCTTTTTCTTATGACTCACCCCTCTCTTCTTTTTTCTATTTCTTTCCTTTTTCTTTCTAAGTGCTTGGGTTGAAAAAATGCTCCATGAATACCAGGTAGCACTGTATCACCAACCTACATCTTAGACCCACAGCTGTGTAGTGGATGATGACCAAGTCCAGAGTCTAGTTCATCATCTCAATGAATGACTTCCTGTCTGTCCTACAGACTGAAGAGTACATGATCTACTCTCCTGTGTAAGGGGTTAACTGCTCTATAAAGGGACTCCCAACCAGCCTTACTACTCACAGACAGCTGGCTTCTACTCACCAAGGATTTTCTAGGTTGTAGGTCAAGAGCCAGCTTGGTTTTCTTTGACTTCCCTTTCTGCACACTCAGGTGTCAGCTCTCTCATCTCCTAGACTACCATCTTTCTATCTTGATCACAAAGTTCTTGTTCTGTTTTTCATCTGTCATCTCATCTCCCGTGTGTGTTTCCATTGCCCTTGTTGACTTATATACTTAAACAATTTATTTATTTTATGTACATGGATGTTTTACCTGCATGTGTGTCTGTGCACCACATGTGTGCCTGGTGTTGTGGAGGACAGAAGAAGGTGACAGATCCCCTGTACTGGAGTTCCAGATGGTTCTGAGTCACCGTATGGCTGTCGGGAACTGAACCTGGGTCCTCTTCGAGAGCAGTCAAGGCTTTAAACTGCTGAGCCATCTCTCCAGCTCCTTCATTTGTTTTTTTGAGACTGTGTCTCACTGATTCTCAGGCTGCTCTCCCACTCCTGTGCTCCAATGAACTCCCACCCCAGTATCTACAGTATGTGGTAGGAAAAGCAGTTGGCATACCGGGGGGGGGGTGGTGATGGCGCACGCCTTTAATCCTGTCACTCGGGAGGCAGAGGCAGGCAGATCTCTGTGAGTTCAAGGCCAGCCTGATCTACAAGAGCTACTTCCAGGACAGCTCCAGCTACATAGGAAAACCCTGTCTTGAAAAACAAAACAACAAAAAAGCAGTTGGCTCCACCTGACATATGCATTATAGATCTAGTCAATGTTTTAATGAAATTTGCAAGGGAACAGAGCTGTGTGCCCAGCCCTCACCCACAGGGCATGCTTGAGAAACATCAAAAATTGTGGCAAATTCTTGCTTTTCACAGTTGGTTTGCATTTTAGACGTTAGTCAAAAGTTAGAGAGAACCTTCATGGATTCCCTCTTCTAGGTCTGAAACATTCTCTCTCTCTCTCTCTCTCTCTCTCTCTCTCTCTCTCTGTCTTTCTCTCTCAATAATGGATTGATTTTCTTCTACTTTTAGTCACAAGGAAGTTGAATAGAGTGTGAATCAAGAAGCAGAGGGATGCTGTGCTGGGTGTTGTCGAAACGCCCATAATCCCAGCACTCAGAGACAGGCAAGGCGATGCCTCCAGCCTCACCAACCAGGACCACACAACACAGCCTGCTCTCATACAAACAAACAAACAAACCTAATGGTAAGAAAAGAAGTAAATAATAGTTCATGGCAATACAGCAAAAATCTGGGAAATACCACACCTTTCTTAATAAGGCAAAATTTGTATAACTTACCAAGTAAAACATGTTGTAGATAGCAAATTTCTCTGGGAACAAAGACGGCCCAGAAATTATGCCAGTTTGCTATTTTATTTTTAAATTCCTTGCTCAGCCTATTATCTTGAGGGAATAATAAACTAAGATTAAATCTTGTCAATGTCCATATCTCCTGCCACAGGACAAATAGTTTAGGATATCTACACCACTTCCCTTTCTTTTTTTTTTTTTTAAGATTTTATTTATTTCTTATGTATACAACGTTCTGCTTCCATGTATATCTGCACACCAGAAGAGGGCACCAGATCTCATATAATGGATGGTTGTGAGCCACCATGTGGTTACTGGAAATTGAACTCGGGATCTCTGGAAGAACAGTCAGTGCTCTTAACCTCTGAGCCATCTCTCCAGCCCCACCACTTCACTTTCTAATGGACACACTAGATTGGTGCATTCATTTTGGCTCAGGGTGACAAACAAGTACTGAGGGGCTCTCTGAATGTCTAGCATAGTTACTGCCACTGACATAAGTTAGGGTGACTTTGCATGTGACATGGAATCTGTCCCCAATACGATATTGTCAGGGCCTAATGCTTTTGCTTTCTAACAGTGTCATAGCTAAGGATGCACAAAGGGGCTAGAGAGGTAGCTCGGTATTGAGAGCATTTGTTCTTCCAGGGACCCAGGTTCAATTCCCAGCACCCACATGGTGGCCCACAACAGTCTGTGACTCCGCTGTAACTCCACTCCAGGAATCTGACACCCTTTTCTGACCTCCATGAGTTCAGATACACAGGGAGTACACAGAAATGCATGCAGGCAAAATGAATATACACATAAAATAAAAATAATAATTGAACATTAAAAATTTTCTTTTTTTGTCCTCTCTGTAACAGAAAATGAAAACTTTATTTGAAAAATACCCACAGCCTCCTAAGATGATCACTTTTAAAGGGTACAAATCATAAGATTTGTGTGTTTGGTTAGGTTGAGTTTGAAGTCCTATTGCTTTACAGTGACCCTTATTTCTTTAACAGGGAGAGGAGAGTTAAAGCACCGTGTAAAGGTGCTGAGAATGATGTCCATGGGAGCCTCACCTATAATAGCAACACAAAATGGACAACAGCAATGAAAACATGCTGGAGTAGAAACTGGCTGAGCAATGTGATGACATGTGACATGGGCTTCTAGAGAACAGGTACATGGGGCAGGGCCATTTGGGGAAAATGTTCACATAAAGTGATTCAAGTGAAAACCAATGCAAAATGGTGGGTGTGCACAGAATAATTCGATATGAAGGAATGTTGGTGAAAAATGTTTGCTGGATTCAATTGCAAATATTGGTTGTATCATTTTTCCTTTTAGTTGTTTTATGTCATAATAAAATAAAAGAAAAATCCTCTTTTGCAAACAGAAATACCTGGCCAGGTGGTAGTGGTGCACACCTTTAATCCCAGAACTCGGGAGACAGAGGTGGGTGGATCTCTGTGAGTTTGAGGCCAGTCTGGTCTACAAAGCTCCATAGAGAAACCGTGACTCAGGGAAAACAAAAAACAAAACAAAACAAAACTAAAAAACAAACAAAAACCCCAAACAAGAAACAGAACTACCTCCCCATTCTTAATGAGCCACAAATTTCAACACTTTAAAATAAGTACTGTACACTTATTCCTGGACCCCCAGGACATCTCTCATCAAAGTTGTGGGAAAAGAAGGTCAAATGCTGGAATAGGCAGAATTGTAGGAACTTCCTCTTTGCCCACAGCTCAAAAGTTGGAAACCACAGCTTTGAGAGAAAGGAGGAACTTGGAGGATGCTTAAATACCAGGCTTGCTTTCTCTGGTCAGCCTGCAACAGATCCAGGTTCCAGGCACCATGAAGGCTCTCCTCACTCTGGGGTTCCTCTTGCTTTCAGTTACTGTCCAGGCCAAGGTCTATGAACGCTGTGAGTTCGCCAGAACTCTGAAAAGTCATGGAATGGATAGCTACAGGGGAATCAGCCTGGCCAACTGTAAGTGTCCTATTCTTGACCCCTCTAGATAAGCACCCCAGTAGAACAGGTACAAGGAGGAATGAGTGAGCAGAGAGGGAGCTGGGGTTTATAAGCGTCTAGGATTCCTGAGTGTTTGACTTGGTTTGATTAAAAACATCAGCATTTGTCTTCTTCCTCAGAGATACTGGGATGAGGGCAGGGGAGGGGCATCTGTGCCAGGCTCAGGCAACAGGACCTAAGGTGCTCTTAGAGTGTCAATGGGTTTTCCAGTTGCTACAAACTCAATAGTCTACAGGGGTCTGGGAAAAGGTGGAAGAATCCACTCATTCAGAACTTGAGTTCTGAGAGCCTGGAATGACTGGTATCTGTCTTCATTTCTCTTAGCACAGTGGAAGATATGGATAAGGGAAAGTTGTCCATGGCTGACTCCACCTACATCATTGTAACTAGTATGCTTTCCAGAGTCAATTAAGGCAGTTAATACTCATGGAGTAACTGGCCATGAACAAGAGATGTATGTGTGCATGGGTGGAGGATGGATGGATGGATGGATGATGGATGGAGGATGGATGGAGGATAAATAGGTGGAGAATGGATGGATGGGTGAGAAGGTGGATGGATGGACCACAGAATTGTCAAATAGTGTTTTCTGTTCTAATGTTTTCCCTTTCAAAATTCTCATCACCCATTTGTGATAGTACACACTACTAGAATCCAAGCAGTGGGATGCTGAGGCAGGAGAGATTACATGTTATTTGCCAAAGTAGGATACTTAGTGACACATCGAAGAAAAAAGAATTCTAAATTAACATGCAATTTCAGCTTGGTTATAAGAACATCTCCTGAGGAAATCCTTATTTTTCTAATAGGAACATCTCCTATCACTATATGTATTTGATATTAATTTATAAAATCTACCCAAACACTATTTGTGTTTCTCTTTTAGGCAGAGGTATCTTGGGATAGATAGGGCAGGGAAAAACAATGGAAGAGTAGCTATTTTACTTTGGCTGTGGGGAGGGTACTTGGTTTCACTGTATAGAACTGGCTGGCCTTGAACTTGCTACATAGACCAGGCTGGTGTCAAACACACACAGATGCACAAGTTCCTGTCTACCAACTGCTGGGAATTAAAGTGATCATGACTATGACAGGTTCATCTATTTGCATATTTTAAAAGAAACTTATCCTGTTTATTATCTGTGCAAATTATTTTGTCCTCAAAGAGATTCTCTTTGGGGCACATAAAAATCACTTGCTGACTAGGTACAGCAGTTCCACCTACTTGAAAGGCAGAGGTAGAAGGATAAGTTGATACCAGCGACTACCCAGAGTAATACAGCAAGACCCAGCCTGAAATAGTGGTAGCTCATTTTATTATTTAATCATACTTAAAAAGCAAATGACTTATAAAATACAGCCATCTCAAGGAACTAATTTTGGTGTCCAGTATGAATCATTTACTGCCGTTGCTTATTATGAATACTCTTTTTCTTTCTAGGGGTGTGTTTGGCTCAGCATGAGAGTAATTATAACACACAAGCTACAAACTACAACCGTAAAGACCAAAGCACCGACTACGGGATATTTCAGATCAATAGCCGATACTGGTGTAATGATGGCAAAACCCCGAGAGCAGTGAATGCCTGTGGGATACCCTGCAGTGGTAAGACAAGGAGGGTTTAGAGGGACAGCAAACAACCCACCTGCTCTTATGTGCAAGAGCAGAGATTCGGTGCCTGCCAATTAGAGGGCCCTTTGTTCCACTTCCAAAATTCACTCAATGAATAAACAATATAAACAGAGACTGGCAAGATATCTCAGAAAGAAGAGTCTCCCAAGACAAGGTTTGAGCCTCAACACCCATGGTAGCATGGTGTATGGTACCCTACACTGCAGTAGCATGCATTTTTAAGAGCTGCACTGGGGAGTCTGACACAGGTAGGTCCATGGAGCTCCCTGGTCAACTAGCATAGCCTAATCAGTAAGCCAGTTCCAATGGAAGACCCTGTCTCAGAATCAGTGTGGACTACTGCTAGGGAACAGCTCACGGGGCTTTCCTCTGACTTCTACATACACAAACACACATGTGCAGCTTCGCTGGTACACATACCACCATATGCTGAGACACATGTTAAATTAGTAGAAATTTTAAAAATAAAGAGCTGGTATCGTTAAAACATGGTGGGATTTTTTTACCTATACTCACATACACACACCTGTATATAGACACATAATTAAAATTAACAAAAATAAACATGTGTAACAAGTTGATATTTTATAACATATGAAAGTTTCTAGGATATGTACTAATTAATTTGAAGTGGCCTTCTTGGTGTTTTGTCCTGAAGATTTCTATTCTAGCAGTTTACTTAGTAGTAATTATGGATATTGTTCTATGGGTCATTATTCACTGAATAAATTTTATTATAAAGATTGTTAACATGCAAATGAAAATAATACTACAATGAAGACCATATGACAGGGTACTATTAAACAACTGGCATTTTGTTCAACTGGCTTCAATGTGCAGGTATTGATGCACTCTTAATCATGAGAGGTCTTAGAGTGAATTTCTAATATCAAATCTTTTTAAAGTCTTTAGTTTTCTTTTTTTTTAAGATTTTGTTTATTATGTATACAGTGTTCTGCCTGCATGCCAGAAGAGGGCACCAGATCTCATTATAGATGGTTGTGAGCCATCATGTGGTTGCTGGGAGTTGAACCCATGACCTCTGGAAGAGCAACCAAAACTCTCAACCTCTGAGCCATCTCTCCAGCCCAAGTCATTAGTTTGCATGTCCAAACAATCTAATTCTTAGAGAGACATCATTTTACCTAACAAAATAACATAGATATATGTATTTTAAATGAAGCTTATTATTAACAAGACATAAACAAGGTTCATATTAGGATTGAGAGCTGGGAAGGTAAAACATGAACTCATGTCATGAGAGAAGTAATATAATGAATGAATAAAATTGTCCAATATTGTTCTGTTTTTCCAGTGAGGGAATTGAATCCAAGACAAGGTTCATTTTAGTCAAACACTCTAAACAATGAACTGTTATTAATTTCTACTCTGTTACACTTGGTTGTCAAAATTTTCAAGAGAAAAGAAATTGTGGAACCTTTGTGTAGCCCCCTTGGCCTGTCTTTAAGGCATTGTGTACACTCACCTGCAATCATTGGAAGGCAGTAGAACAACAGGAAAGAGGAACATCACTCCCTGTTGAGTGCTCAGAGAGTTCATGGAACTGAAAACCTTTGGACATTGCTCTTCTAGTCTGTAAATCTTGTGCAGTAGGTCCATGTAAAGTTGTATCATGGGTATGTGTACTCACATAAAAACATGTACAGATTTTACATTTTTACACAAATTACATTATGCTTGAACAGCTTCATGAAATGGTTATTACTCAAAACTACATCCATAGTAACAAACACTGACCAGAATTCTCATATGAAAGAGTGAATAAAATTACAGTAGCAAAATTCTATATGCTGGAAACACCACTCTTGCTTCTTCAGTCTTCTGTTTTGTTTTGTTTTCAGAGACAGGGTTTCTCTCTGTAGCTTTGCAGCCTGTCCTGGCACTCGATCTGTAGACCAGGCTGGGCTGGAACTCATAGAGATCCGCCTGCTTCTGCCTCACGAGTACTGGGATTAAAGGCGTGCACCACCAACGCCCGGCTCCTTCTTCAGTCTTAAAGCTCTTACTGCTTCTATTTAACTGATTACAAATTGTCAGGAAGAGCTTTATTCACATAAGGCTTGTGCATTGTTCTCTTTTTTAAAGTATTCATTTATCTTTGTGTGTGGTATTTTGTCTGCATATAGGATTGTGCACCACATGTGTGCCAGGCCCCTTGTGGAAGCCAGAAGAGGGCTTCATGTCCTAAAACTGGAGTTTCAGACAGTTGAGAGCTGCCACAGGGATGCTTGGTATCAGGTCCTCTGAAGGAGCATCCATTGCTCTTAACCACTGAGCCATCTGTCCAGCCCTGTTTTCTTTAGGATAAATTTTCACTGGTAGACCCAGGTGACAGTTCCAATGTGTTCTATTTCCAGTATGAGAACAAAGAGGACCTTCTGACATGGTAGCTGACAGTCCCACACCTCCAGTGACTCTCATCACTTCAGTGGCTTCTTTACTTTGTATCAGTGCTGGAATTGTAAGAACACTCTACACTCAAGTATATTTCAACCCCTAAGGACTCTATAAATGAGAAATAAAATGACTTATATCATGTCAACAGGATAGAATCAAGAGAGGCTGTCTCCAATCATCACAGTAGCATTGACACTTGGAAAGTAATTTCTTGTGTTCACTGCCCAGTGTCACAGAAGAAAGCTGACTGGATCTGAAGTGAAAATGGGTTTTATAATAGTCCTTGTCATTCTTCCCCCTGTCTTTCAGTGTTGCTCCAGGATGACATCACTCAAGCCATGGAATGTGCAAAGAGGGTTGTCAGGGATCCACAAGGCATTAGAGCATGGTATGTTGGAACTTGGGAAGGGGAAACTGTTGGTTGTGTTGATATGTGCAGTGAGTCTTCCTAAGGCCCAAGTGTCTTCTGAGATCTGCAGGCTCAGCTGGGGTCTTTCACTGCATCATCAGTTTTAGGGAATTTCTCCAGAGTGTGAGAATCCCCACACACGACTACTTCCTTGTCAGGCCTCCAGAATATATGTAGAATCGGTCAGCCGTTCCATACATGTGATGTCACATTGACATTGAGCATGCTGTGCTCTGCTCAGGGTTTGGAGAGGGTCACACAGCCATGCGGACAAAGCTCTACCTGTCAGTAGCAGTTTCTGGGTGATGCTACAGCCTGTGTTTCACATTGGATCTTGGCCCAGAACCCAATCTCCATTAGTGTCACTGTTATAGTATTTTCCCCCAAAGGTTTGAGTATGTGTGTGACAGAGAAGACAATTTTAACCATTTCTCTCCTGTCTCACTTTCCTCCTCAGGGTGGCATGGAGAAGCCACTGTCAAAACCGAGATCTCACCCAGTATATTCGGGGCTGTGGAGTCTAACCACTGTGCTCTTCTGCTTCAGCTCATTCTGTCTCTGTATTGCTATAGAAGTAGAAATGGAAAAGGTCACATGTTCTTGGACTCCCCTTTAGACAAGCACGATTTAAACAGAAACAGGAGCAAAATGGAGACTGTTTCCTCAGAGGCTTCATGCTGACTAATGTCTTCATTGTTCTAAGCAAAGTCATCATTTTTTGGTTACCTAGGCAGCAGATGCTGGTGACAGTGGTCTAGCACTTTGATGGTCACACGCATCTCCATACATCAGTTCTTCATCTGTGAGGTAATTCACATTCAGTTTC